ACTTGGAAACAGCCCAAATGCCCATCAACTGGAGACTGGATAAAGAAAATGTGGTTTTTTTATAAAATGGAGTACTACTCAGTCATAAAGAATGAAAAACTAGAGACATTTATAGCTAAATGGATGCACATTGAGACCAAACTCTTAAGTGAAATAAATAGGACACACACGCGTAAATACCGAATAGTTTCTCTAGTGTGCGAAACTGGGAGTGTAAATAAGGACTAAAAGGTATAATAGATAATGAGAATTAGGAAGAAAAGTGGTAAAGGGGAAGGGGAAGTGGGAGGGGCAGGGGAAAGGAAAGAAGGGAATGGAATTAATATGAGAAAATGAAAAAATGGAAACAAAGTCTTTGTAATTAGGGAGGGGTTGAGGGGAGGGCAGGTGAAGAGGTAAAAATAAGAACCAAGAGAGACTATGTAAAGGTGCAAATTTCCAATGATATCATTATATTGTATACCTAAAATGTAGCAATAAAATAAAGTGAGTTAGGCCCTCTCCTTCACACCATGAGGATCATAGTTTAATTGGAGTGGTAGAGGAAAAACAAACTTAAAATGACAGTATGAGGATAGGAACTCTAGGAGAAGTGTTAACAAATTACATCCAATGAACCACATGTGAAAGGAAAGTAGTTCTAACCATGTTTGATATTTTCTTCTGAACTGAACTGGGCTCAATATTAATTTATTGTTTTTGTTTTTGTTTTTTTGGTGCCGGGGATTGAACTCGGGTCCTTGAGCTTGCAAAGCAGGCAGCGGAACCACTGAGCTAAATCCCCAGCCCCAATAATATTAATTTATATCCTCTGAACACACATGGGCTAGAAGTAGGAAGAGGTAGCCAAGAATGTACTTAGAACTGAAGAAAACCTGTATGCTTTCAGTCAATAACTCCTGAACCGGATTATAAAGTTCTCAAGTACACAAGGTGGAGCTGGGGCTGGAGCCAGATGAATAAAGATATCCCCAAGGGCTTCAAGATTTCAATGTAACAACTGTCCCCAAGAAAGGCTCGGTGACTTTCAAAGGCAGATGCCAGCTGTTTAGAATTTCTAGTCCTTTGGCAATGGGTTAACTGAAAAAATACACGAGTGATTCAAGCAAGGGGGTGTTCCCATCGCTGTTCACGACCCTACAGTTATTTTCAGTGCCTGGCACTCCTCCACATCGGGTGTAGTTGCATCCCAAGGCCGACTTTGGACTGCATCACACCAATCAGGGGCCTCTGAGAAGGACATAAGAGGAGGATACAGCACCTCTATGTTAAAACTTTCTTCACAGGGCCAGGGATTTAGCCCAGTGGTTTCGCCACCTGCTGCGCAAGCGCAAGGACCGGAATTCGATTCCCGGTCCAAAAATAACCAACAAAAAAACCAAAACACTTTCTTCACAAGACTCATTTATAGCTTGTATGGAAGCCAGGGCACATGGGCACAGACATGTAAATAATGGAGTCAGAAAGCTAGACAGATTTGAAAACAGCTAAGGACAAAAAATAAAAAAGGCATTTAAAAGTTAAGTTTGAGGCCAGGCATGTAGCTCAGTGGTTCCGCTGCCTGGCTCGCAAGTGCAAGGTCCAGAGTTCAATCCCCAGTACCTAAATAAATAAATAAATAAATAAATATAAAAGTGAAGTCTGGAACAGGGAGGGAATAAAGGAAAGATTTTTCACTGTTTTCTTGCCAGCATGAAGGACAGCAGTGTCTCTCAGAGGTGACTGGGATTATTAACTTTGGTGAGTAATGGCCTCAGCTAGTGCACATGTACTAAATGTCAGCTTGCTTATAGCCTATTACAGCTATGAGAATTTCTTTTCACCTACCGTGGATTAGTACTTGTGCTGCACTCAGGATCATAATCGATTCCTTTCCAACAATGATAATACCGAACAATATTGGTATGATTAAGAGCCGCCAGCGCGTGTACTTCACGCAGTACCTTCCTGTTTAAAGGAAACAGAAACATGGATGTGTGAGTACGTATCTCCAATAACTACAAAACACCTAAGTAACAGGAGACAATTGTCCATATTCCCTCATCAAAGGGTCGCTGTGTTGCTCTCACCAAGATTTAGAATGGGCCAGGAGAACCCAAAGAGAAAACATAGTTGCTCTCTTTCTCAAGATAAAAAAATTTAAACACTTCCAAACATCAACTTAAAAACATTTGTAATAGTCTTTGAAATGCCACTGATGCAATTTTTAAGGGGAAAATCATACATTATGTTTTGTTTAGGCAATGTATTAAAATCTTTGTATTTCACAAGCAAATCTCATTTGAGCAGGAGGGGTAGGTAAGCCAGGTAGTATGCAGAACCTAATTCAGCATTTTAAATGTGTGAACAAAAAATACAGCAAGGAGATAATTTATGCAAAGAGACTGAGACTTCACTGTGCACCATGGGAGCTTTATAGGGATGTGCTGTCAAGAGCTGACAACCCTAGACTAAGCAGAGTAAATAAATTTGAGATTTCAAAAATAAAGAAGGATAAGCATTCATTTTAAAATTTATTTTTTATGTAAGGAGCTTTATATGACATATAATTTGTCAAACTAAAGGAAAAATTACTGATGCTTCAACAATCCTAAAGAATCAATGATTTAGTATTTTTTTTTTTTTTTTTTTTTTTTTAGTACTGGGGATTGAACTTGGGTCCTTGGGCTTGCACAACAGGTGGTGAAACCACTGAGCTAAATCCCCGGCCCTATTTAGTATTATTTTTTAGAATCTTTCTCCATACACATTTTTACGTTTGTAATTATAATGCACAATTTTTATCCTTCTTTTACATACTACCCATACCATTTTCCTGTTGTAATAAAATATGTATAAACATCATTTATAAAATATTTAATGCAAGATTTTAAAAATATGAAAAAGTATAGCAAACAGTATGAACCCCAGCACAGCTATCAGCCAGATGGACCAGTCATCAATTCCCGGCTGATCTTGTTTCACCTACATGTATTCTCTTAACCTCCTTCTTTATCCTCCCCTGGATTATTTTAAAGGAACTTTCAGCATCATATCGTGTCATGTGTAAATACTGCAGTCACTACCCCTCATTTATCATGGCTATAAAATAAGCCATTGATTAGGGGAAAGAATAAAACATATTTAATCATTTATTTATTGTTGGATATTTTATTGCTTCTGATTTTTCACTGTTATAAATGATACTGCGCTTGATATTTTCTTGCATACAGCCATAAATTGTAGCACGTTCTAGACAGGAAATTCTTGGATGGAAGCATATGAACAGTTTTATGGTTCTATATGAGTATTTCCGGTATGTTTTTAACATGTTGGTAACAATGCATAAGTCCCCTGAAATGTCCAAGATGCTGTATCTTTATCAAAATCGTTACCATTTTTAAAAACTGCTATCTAGCAGAAGGAAAATTAGCACTTCATTCTTTTTTTTCTTTGAGTTTGACAAAATTTATTGGTTATTTTAGAAAGACATTCATCTCAGTCGTTTCTCTCCTCATCTTGACCTTACATTAGTATTTCACTTGGGTCAAGAAGAGTATGTAGGAGAGGGATGTTATCTTAACAAGCAGTAAAATGGACAAAAATGAAGAGTCTGCCTACATAAAAGTAAAGTTAAAGTTAAATTCATGTATCTTGGTATAATTAAATCATGTTTAAGAACCAATAGTTCTATGTACATGTCCATTGTTTTACTTGGGGCTTAATCTAAACTTTAATGTAAAAGAACAACTTATTAGGCATATGTGCAGGTTTCTTCTCTGGAGTTACTATTAAAAGATCAGCAAGTAACTACCACCAATAAAATAGTCTGAAGCTGCCTCCAAATTTAACATTGTAGGCATTCTGAAGGAAATCACTGTATCATTTTTCTTTTGTCTGTGACTATGCTTTCAAAGATGTGTTTAACTGTTACTTTTAAAAAGTCCATATGCAATACAAAAATACAAAACAAAACACCCTACAGTATACAAATCTAACAGTATATGTGATGAACAATTCTATAAAATGTGTTTGAAGATGCATTTTCTTTCGTTTTCAGTACCTACAATATGCCCAGGCCACTGGGCAGTGTGTATATACTTAAACCACATAATTGTTCTAATAAGAAATCCTGTAGTGAGTTCAATTCAAATTGGATTTAACACCTCAGTAATGTAAATGTGTAGACAAAGTTACAGAAAATGCATCTTATTGTCTTCCATCTTCTACAACGTTAATTTTTTTTTTTTGGTGTTTATACCTTTTAAAAAATAAAAACCAGCCAAACACTTAAACAGTATGTACATTTAAATTTTTGGTGGTGGTTTTTATTTTAAAAGAAACAGCTTTCTTATCATTTGCCTCAAGTTCTGGTGGAAATGCTTACAAGAATTAGCTAACAAACAAACAAAAACCAAGAGAAGCACATTCAAAATACTGATTTACTTTGGTAGCAAATGGCTGTTCTTTGAAGACTAATAAAGGTAGACAAGACCATTAAAGTGAAATGGGCCATTTCAAATATGATACTTCACATAGAAATTTTTTTGAAAATTATTTTTAGTAAAAGAGCTAATCATCTGTATCCACTGATAGCAATGCAATACCTAATAATAGGATAACAAAACAAATGCCCATAAGGAAAAAAACTATTTAAATTTTATTTAAATTTACTTTCAGTCAATAGTCCAGCAACACTTTCCTTTCAATACAATACTCCCCCTTTCTCTATAAGGCTGTTCCTGGGAGCCAGACAGTCGGTTTAGGTAATGAGGGAGTTAATTTAGGAGTAACTGCTGACAGTTTTAAATAGGCAGTTATTTTTTGCTTCCCTCTTAATGTGCTAATAGCTGTGTCTAAAAAAATACGCAATTCTTAAAAAGGTACCATTTCTGATTTCTTTATTATCTGTAACCTTTGGGAACTAATCACACGAAACTACAAAATTAGCAAATGTCTTGAAATCTGTGTATAAAACATAAATTACCTCTAATTCCAAACTCTGAGTTATTAGTGTACCACTCAATCTTTAAAAAAAAATGAAAAAGAAAAAGAAAAAGCAGCTCCAAAGATAGGCCAGGGGATGAGCTCAGTGGTGCCACTGCCTGCCTTGAAAGCACAAAGTCCCAAGTATGATCCATGGTACGAAGAAGGAAGAAGAAAGAAGAAAGAAGAGGAAGAGGAAGAAGAAGAAGAAAGAAATACAAAAATAGTGCAGGTTTAATACAACTTTTCATTCAAAAACAAAAACATGTACTACTTACTCGTTAGTACATCTAACACGTTTAATAACGGAAATCTTTTCATCTAGTTTGTGTTTTGCTTTGAAAACCTGGCCATATCCACCATCACCAATTGGTTCTATGTCTTCATATTCACTGGCAAACCTTAAAGATAAATACCACCGTTATTCTGAGGTTCAGAGCCTGTCCCCTTTCCCCACCCACGCCTCCTTATGTGAAATGTATAGTTAACATGATTCTCCCCTTCTAACTTAAAGGTCCACTTGATTCACAAAGAATGGTACCTTCTCCTCTTCCTCCCTCTGCCATGGAGAGACTAATGTAACAGATCATCCTAGGGATTACAATCAACTCTTGGCTGTACAGAAGCCATGATCAGGAATCCATTCATGAATATGAAACTTTAGAAAGAATCGCTCTATTGTGTTGTATAGCCACCACCAAGCTGTTATAAGAGAAACATATGTTCTAAGCCTGCTTTGTTTTTCTCCTCTCCCTCTAACCCTACATTCCATCATTAAGCTTCACCAATTCTTCTTCCAAGGGTCATTTCCATTTTTCCCTGCTCCATTGCTTTTCCTCTAGAGCTGACCATATTTTGTAGTTAAGACTTTTAATGTAATTATTTATTTAATGTCAGTCATTCCTTCAAAACTCTACGAAAGGAGGAATTGGTTCTTTGTTCTGATACTCAGCACAGTGCCAGGTGTATCTTAGGCACTTAATAAATATTTATTGGTTCTTTATTTTTTAAAACTTATATTCAGTGCTCTGCTATTTCAAACAAGCCTCTTCTTTTTATATCTAATTTAAATACAAACACATCATCTACTGCAGAGAGATTATTTTTTCATGTGATTTCTGGCATGGAGCTGGAAACCAGAAAACAAATCCAAGTGTGCCTATTCTGATTCCTGCAGGAGAACATTTTTTTGTAGAAACAAACAAACAAAAATCATTGATTTACAAGAGTGCTTGTTTTCAATATAAAAATTTCCATGGATGTCAGAGAAACTCATCTAAGCATCGGAGATCTGTATTCACCAGATTCCATTTGGATTCATCAAAACCTTACTTCTGCAAGAGACATGGCTGCTTGTGGGTCTGACTGTGCCACAAGTATTAATTGTTCTGGTGGAAATATAATTTAATTTTCAACAGGCCCTGAAGAAACTGTTTTTGAATGAGCAAACCTATCTTTAAGTAAATTTGTTTCCACAGCTCCCTCTTACCTGTCATTCACAGTGTACTTGTTTTCTTCTACATTAGCATGGTCAAATTTAGGTGCCAAATTTCTAAAATGAAGACAAGAATGTAAAACTCAAATCAAATATAACTTGTTTAGAGCGTTTTTGTTCCTTGCACTGGGCTTTCTATACCTTGGATCAACTATGTGAATAACAGGATAGCAAGTGTTACCCTTCTTTTTTATAAAACTATTTCCTTACAGTTCACCTATATCTGCTAATAATTTTGCATCCCTTTCCTGGCCCCTTTTTACCTTCACACAACCACTGTTGGCGTGTAACTAGCCTCTCCTTTGCTGTCTCCAGGTTCAGAACCTCAGGAATTGCACCTCCTGGCACCTTTCTTCTGCTTGTTATTTCTCACAGAAGATGAGTCGTTTGTAACTAGAAGTTCGAAAACCACTTTAAACATATCCATATTGTTATCTTCCCTCGAGTCCGTAAGTCTTCTACCTCCTTAATATCATTAATACCATAATTCTTGTCTCCATCCCATTCAAGATGGAGCAATCTTCAGACCCTTTCTTCTGCTTACCCATCTACTTTACCCTATCCCATCTACTCTTCCTCTATAGTTTTTCTCAGAAATGTTCCTCACTGCCCCAATAACCATGGCTGTAGGCCTAATCATCTCACACACAGATCTCTTTTTCTCTCCATGCAAACATCCGCATCAGGAGTCATGTTTCTTCCACACATCCACCAACTGCTTAGGATATACTGGAGACTCATTTGGACTCTTGTGGTCATGTCACTCTCATTTCTGACTGTATTTACATCTTTGCTTTTCCCTCCAGTTAAAGAAACCAATTCATTATAATTTACATAATATTTGGTCTTTTTAAAAACTCAAGTTATTACACTATTTTTATTCTACCCATCCATAAAATAATAATGCACTTCCCTCAAAAGCACCTCATCATCAGACTCATCCAAAATAATGCCCTTAACTAATTCATCTAGTAATATAATCAGAAGGCTTTATGTTTCAGTATAGCATGTATATATATTCAAAGAGTTCTCTACACATTAAAATCAAATGTTTGTAGATTTCAAGCTTTCTACCTCTTCTGGAACTCCACTCATATATACATGTAAAATACAAATACTGAAGACGGTAAAGTCTGATGTAAAATTTCAGTCCAAAATGTTCAATGAACAGGGATACTCACACTTTTGTCTTCATTTGCTTATTCCTAAGACCATTCTACAACGAAAGAAAACAGGAAATAGTTTCAGATGATAAAAACAATTATCTTATTTCTTTAACTGACTCTCTGACCGTATTTTTCAGTCTGTAAGAATAACAGCTTCTTTGTCTACAATCTCAGCAAGGCTTGTACCAACACTTAGTACTGCAAGATTTTAAGTGGTATCTACTGCAAGGTTTTAAGTGGTATCTACTTGCTGTTTTGATTTGCATTTTCCTGATTCCTAGTGAAATAAAGCATCTTTTCATATTTGTTGCCCATTTAGATTTCTCATTTCTAAATTGTCTGTTCAGGCACTCTACATTTTTCTACTGAGTTGCTTGTCTCTTTCTTATTAACTTGTAGTTCTTTATAAAAAGAATATTTCTGTGAAAAATTGCCTGATTTTTAAGTTTAGTTTGCATTGTGTTTAGTTCTGATTTTTTAAGAACAGAAGCAGAACTGTAGTAATAAACCCTTTAAATATTGTCCGGTTGTGGAAGAGAAAAACAAGATCATGAGAATATTTACAAACATAAAAGTGAATAGGGAAGAATGGTAGGGAGGTGTGGTAGAAGTTTGCATGCAAGGAATAGAGCTTAATGAAGAAAAGGGAGCAAGTCAAAACACTGCTAAAGTCATTATTGAGTAGTAGCACATGAGACAAAAGTATAAAAAATTATGGTAGATTACTAGAGCTCATTTCTAAATGAGGAAACACAAGAACACAAGATTAATAAGAAGCTCAGAGACTGATACGATACCACAGGACAACAACCGCTTTCACTGTCACTGCTATGATCACTTTTCCTTGCATTTGCTGAGAAATCATTTTCAGATGATGATTCAGAAGCTCTAGAAGAAAAGGAAGAACCATTATCTTTGAATTCTACTTTTTATCAATAACTTCATTCTGTAAATTCTCCTTAAACATTAAATGCTTTGATAAAAATTGCTCTTTTAAGCAGCAGTTCTGCCTTCTCCTCCCCTCTTCCTTTTCCCCTTCCCCCCTCCTCTTCCTCCTCCTCCTCCTCCTCCTCATTTTTTTTTTTTTTTTTTTTGAGACAGTTCTCGCTTTGTAGTTCAAGCTGTCCCTGAACTTCAGTATGTAGCCCAGGCTGGCCTCGAACCTGAGGCAATCCTCCTGTCTCTGCCTCCCGAGTGCTGGAATTACAGGCATGTGCCACTATGCCCGGCTCATTCATTTTTGATTCAGGGATCAAACTCAGGGCCTCCAACAAGCTAGGCAAGCACTCAACCACTGAGCTAAACCTTAGCCATCAGGTAATAATTTGACTATCTTAAAATCAAGATCATTTGCCCCAAACTTACAATGTTTTGGAAGAGCCGTTTCCAGAGTCTCTGGACTCAGTAGAAAAATGATCATGAGATGCCTGGTGAGCTTTCTGAAAGAAAGAGCTGCCCTCAGCACATTTTGAATGTAACTAACCTCTTCTCCACAGTGGCTCCATCTCTGGGTACCATTATATTTATTTTCCCCACATTCAACAAATTCGCAACCAAAATCATTTATGTGATTAGTACATTTTTATGGCTGTTTGATCTAGATTTTACATACAGCCCTGAGTCGCCAAGAAGACTTTCATCCCTCTGGCTCATTGGTGAGACACAGAATCATTTTCTGTACGACTGACTATCTTGGCATTATATAAACACCGTTTAACCTCTAATTGACTTCAGAGGGAATTTTTGAAATCTAGAAAGCAAGTCTAACAGCACTACATACCTCTAACTTTTCTTCTGAAATCCGATCGAATGCAAGTTTGGCAGCCAATTGTTTTGCATCCTGTTTAGTAGAAGCTGTTCCACAGCCATATACTTTCTGCCCAATTTTGCATTTACACTGAAACCTAGGAAAAAAGGTAGAGTACTCATCCAAGTATCAAAAATATACTAAAGCTAATTTATGATTTGAAAATAATAATGTTCACATTAACTTATTAGCCAGATTTACATTTCATATTTTTTATAACTGCAATAAAATGGCTGGCCAGTTTATCAGAGTAAATTGGATTGGCCAATATCGCAGATACATTTCCCACTCAAAGCACCGAATAATTTTTGAAACTCCGCTAAAGGTCAAAAGATTTAGCAGTAGAGAAGAAAGTGAGAGATCCAGTGAATTTTTCAAAGATGCCCAAATGGGAAAGAAAAAACTCAAAGTCAGGCTATCATGGGAGAAAGTTCGAGGTTACAGTGCCTTTGGATGGAAGGATGAGCAAAAGATAGATTTTGTTCTAACTTTATGCCCAAATGTGGCTAATATGCACAAAAACCTAAGAAAATCCCCACAGTGCACCCCTCACCCCATCTTAAATTCACTCTCTCCTCATACTACATATAAAGACATTTGTGGTTAGGCAAGGGTCTTTGGACATTCATATAAAAAGTACCCCCTTTTTTTTGGTACCGGGGATCGAACTCAGGTCCTTGCACTTGCACAGCAGGAAGTGAAACTACTGAGCTAAATCCTCGCCCTCCCCCTTTTCTTTGAGACAGAGTCTCACTATGTAGTTTAGGCTAGCCTCAGACTTGCAGCAGTTCTACCTGAGCCTCCCCACTGGGATCACAGACATGTGCCATTGTCCCTGGCAAAAACTACTTTTAAGGGGTAAAGCAATCCACATATCAATTTATGTCATAGAGTTACTATATATTACTGCAAAATCACTCAAGAATTTACACTTATTTTTTTCTTTTGGTACCAGGGATCAAACTTGGGACCTTGCACTTGCGAGGCAGGCACTGGAACCATTGAACTAAATCCCCCACCCTACACTTCTTTTACTTTATGTTTCAATTGGAGGACACTCAGAGAAACATACTTGCTAGACCCTGAATTAAAGAGCTGGCATGAATAACAGGATTGTTTCCACAGATCCTATCTTGTCCAGGTACCCTCAAATAGACTTCTCTCTTTTAGGTAGCTAAGATTGAGGTGTTTAATTCAAAGGAGCTGAAAAGGTAAACTACGGAAAAATAAAATCATCTCACTGAGATTGGCCCACTGAATTCACTTTTGACTATTTCATTCCAATAATACTATCACACTTTTCTCTTCCTGACTCTGTCCTAAAAGCCATGAGAGCAAAAGCCAAATAGCTGAGTGCCTTCATAGGACAGTATCCTAAGCAACAGTTTGGCTATTGGTCAGTAAGGGTTTTTTCTTTTCTTTAGTTTAACTGGTGGGTTGTCATTTAGATACAATTTCCCTTGTACATATTTACTTTCTGATTTTTAAGCTCCAATCCCTTCTACTTCCACAAGCCTTAGCTCACTGTGATGTTCTTAGTAACTCTCAGGCTCTAATCCATTGATTTATCCATCACAGTCCTCAAATCTGCTGTCTTCACAGTACAGCGCTAAAACCATTTCTTCTAACATTGGGTCTTTGTCCATTTAATCAAATGTGAGGGACAAACACCCAGATAAATAGCACTCTAGTCTGAAAAGTCATTCTACCCACATGGCAGAGCAGTTTCCATACAGCCACTGTCATTGCCACCTCAGGGGCGGAAGGCTTGTGTCCCTCAGGGAGGAGCAGTCTGTGATTACTACGTGTGCAACAGACTAACCATCCAAATACACCTTAGAAATACAGCAGTCCCCTCTTCTCTGGGGAATATATTCTAATAACAAAAATACAGAACTAAGACAATTAATAATAAAATGAAACAGCTCTAATTATATGTTGTAATAAAATACTTTTATTACAATATACTGTAATGAAATCTGTCACTGTCCTATGAAGAGACTCAGCTATTTGCTTTTTACCCTCATGTCTTTTAGGCCACAACTAAGAAGAGAAAAATGTAATAGTATTATTGGAGTGAAATAGTCATAAATAAATTTGGTGGGTCAATCCCAATCATTGAGACTATTTCATTTTTCTGTAGCTCATCTTTTTGGTTCCTCTTGAGTTAAGTATGCCAACATTAGATATCTAAAAGAAAGTAGTCTATTTGGGGGTACCTGGACAGGATAGAAGCTATAAAAACATTTCTAGGTGAAAACTAGACATGAAAACAAGTCCATTTTATTGGTTAGATGTAATGAAACAGAAAGAAAAGCCAAACTACACCTTACCTCCGAGGCCCCTGTTCCCTCAAATCATATTGTTCATAATTTACAGATAGTTTATCCTTCTGGGCAATCCGATTGACAAGGCCTACGTAATTCCCAAAGGCTGATTCTTCCGAAGTGTCTTTTGTCATCGAGGATGAAGAACTACCTACCTACAACAACAACAGCAAAACTGTTTAATATAAATGACAATAAAGATTAAAACTTTCTTTTGAGCCAGATATGGTGGTGCACACCTATAATCCCAGAACTCAGGAAACTGGGGCAGGAGGATTACAGTGAGTTTGAGGCCAGCCTGAGCTACATAGTGAGTTCAAGGCCAACCTGAACTATATGGTGAGATCCTGTCTCAAAATAAATAAATATTTTAAAAAGATCTAACCCTTTTTCTAAAAGTAAAATTACTAAATGAGCAATTTGAAAGAGAACTTGAATCTAAACGTATTTTCCAACTGTATTACTTTGTTTAAAAAGGTAATATACACTTGGTGAAAATATAAATATACATTCTTTACCACAAAAAAATCTACAATAAATTTTTCTTTTAATTAAAAAATTGTCAACCAACAAATAAAAATTATATATATTTATGATATATAAATGTTTTCAAAAATGTGTATATCAGGGAATGCTAAATGGAGATAACACGCATCATCTTACATAATTATCTCTATTTTGGTGATAGAAACACTTAAAATCTACTCTCTTGGCAATTTTCAAGAATATGATATATTAATTCACCCATTTTCCTTTCATAGTTTCAGTAAGAGAAAAAATAAAAGTGTATTTCCTTTTTTTCTTGCAAATTAAGGTAACACTTTGTAGCTTGCTATATACTTTCTAAATCTCAAAACACAGGGTAACAGGTGTGAAAGTAAAGCTATCTCTCAGATCACAAACTAGTGGAAAAAATAAATATAATAGAATCACTCCTGCTATTATGTGTACCTTTTTTTCTCAATCTAACAAGTTTTTCTACTTTATTCATCAAAGTACTAGCTTTTGGTTTTATTGATTTTCCTTATTACATCTTTTGGGTTTCTTTGGCCCTAATTTCTGCCAGTGTTATTACTATCTTTCTTCACCTTCTTGGCAGCTATTCTATTTCTTTTCTAACTTCTGCAGTTTCCTAGCTTATTAATACCTTGTAAGTGATTTTGATTATTTTTAATTTTTACTAGAAAGATGACATGCTCAATTAAGATTTTTTAGTGGGCCAGGGATTTAGCTCAGTGGTTCTGCTGCCTGCCTCGCAAGCAGAAAGTCCCGAGTTCAATCCCTGGTACAAAAAAAAAAA